GCACATTAAAAAAGAGGTATTGCATTCCTATTAGGAGAACTGGATGGTCCCCAGCTAACTAAATGAGAAATGCAATGAGAATTATAGATAATCATCCATGTAATATTTTGCTAAACAATGTCTTACATTCTGCCTCTGTCATGGATAATCAGATTCAATATTAGAAATATGAACATGAACTATATATTGAATTATTTAGAATGAGTGCTGAATTTCTTAGATGCTGTAGGGTATTGTGGATAGGTAGGAGAATGTCCTTACATTTAAAGTCATAAAATAAAGTGTAAGAGTTAAGGGTCATGACCTGTGAAATTTACCTTTAAATGGTTAAAATGTATAGTTATATATATGATTTCCATATTTTAATAAAACATAAGAAATAAATGTTATGAATCATTAACAAATGAGGAATCTGGGTAAAAGGTCTACAGATCTTCTTTGTACTGATCTAATTTTTCTATAGCTGTGGACCATTTCACAATAAAATCTTGGGCCCAAAGTGTAAGACTACGTAATATATAAGTATATGTATATCGAGACTGTTGGTGCCTAGCTTGTCATATGCAAGGTTTGATAAATGGTAGCAAAAAATGAGACCACTTAGAGCATGGTCTTCATTTACCAAGGCCTCACATATTCCATTTCACAATGTTGGGTACAGTCTGGTTAAAAGTTGAAGAGTAAGCATGAAATGAAGGAGCTATGGTTTTTTGTTCGAGACCTTTCTAGAAAGGGAAAATATGAATCTCTTTGGTCTTCTATCAGCAGCTACTTCCCAGATGAAGCTGTGGGGCTCAGGAAGCATGAGCTCCTCTCTGTAGCAGCAGATTACTTTGCAGCCTCTCAAAGGCACGAGGGTGCTGAAATGACACATTCTACAAATTCCCCAGAAGACAATTTTTGAGCTCTGGTAAAAGCAGCATGGAGTCAGTCAGTTCAATTCCAGAGGTTGCTCTCCGGCTTCCTGAGAGGATGCTCAGTTAATTGGCGAAGGCCATCCTCCATCCGGAGCTTGTCCTCCTCCAGGTGCATGAGTTCCCCAGAAAATGGAAATGTGCCTCCTCCCTCTATGGGAAGAATGGGGCTGAATCCTAGCATGGGGAGGGCATTCATATACCGCTGAGACCTTCCAGCAGTTCCTCAGCTAGGTCTTCAGAAGAGCTACCAATGCCTGGTATCTTGTATGCTGATGTCTTTAATATAGAAATGTCCACACATCTCTGGGGACAGGACTCAATGTTTTATTAATGATCTTTAATATAAATTTAATTTCAAAGCATTGCTATTCTCACATTATTTTCATAAAGGCTTTGGTGTTTATTTCTTTATTTTCTCTTAGTGATGAGAATAAGAATGGGAGACACTAAGGCATGTTTTAAGGGTGGGACATGGAACTTGCTGGTGCACAAGGAGGTCATTCTCTGTCTTACTTTTTCCATTGCTGAGGCAAATTACCCAATATCCAAAAGTTACAAGAGGTAAAGTTTATAATCATAGTTTGTGAAGATTTTAGTTCAAGGCAGCGTGCCACATCAGAATGCGATCACAAAGGAGAAACTGTTCATGGCAGGCAGCAATGTAGTGAAGATCCAAGTGATAACAGTAGCCCTCTTTCTAGCCCTTATGTTGCATCCAGGCTATGTACCCTTAGGGTGGGTAGCACTCACACCCAGGGTGAGCGTATCAGTTAGGGTTTCACTAGAGGAATAGACATAATATGTGATGTACACATGTACAAGAAATTACAAGACTGGCTAATGATGGTCAGCCACAGAGTCGGATGAGGAAATGTACAGAGGGTGTCTACATACTGCAGACTGAAGGATTCAGTCCAAGGTCTGCAGCTCACTGTGGTGTTCCATGCAAGTCCGTATCAGGAGGTCAATGGGTCTGTGATTGAAAGCTGATGAATCTACACCAAAAAGCTGAAGAGGCCAAGGAGGATGCCAAAGAGTCTTCACTAGAAGCCAGGAGATGACACCCAAACTGAAGGTAAAGACTGTAAGACCTCTGAAGAAATGGAACCTTGGTCCTTCCTCATTTCCGTTTGATATCCTTTAAGTGATCCTCTACACCCTAGGGTGTAGAATTGCTGAGCCAATTTAGTTAAATTTCTAAACTTCTCAAGTTGGCACAGTTGATCAACCACTACAGTGAGAAAACCCTTAATCCTAGCATCACTTCATGAATCAATCCCAGTATCACATCCTTAATCTAGCATCACACACTCTAGGTCAACCCACTTTGTAAAGCCCCACCTATGACCACATGAGGCTTTGGAGGGGCATCTTGATACAACCCATAACATTGTCAAAGAGCTTTCCAAGTGGGCGGAGCCTTTTAAAAGAATGTCTGGGTGGCTCCTCAGCTGAACCTTTCTGTGATTTTCAGTAGTGTCTCTTCCTTACTTCACACTCAGAACATCCCGTGATAATTTAACTGTTACAAAGCCACCCTCTTTGCTTCTCAAATTTGGCCCCAAGAATACTGCTACTCTTTGAGAATCCATGTCACACTTTCTTCTTCAAGAAATATCCTAGAGTAGCTGCATAGTTTCTGAGTTGCCTTGTTAAATTTTTTTAAATCTTGTGACTTAGTGCACATGTAGTAGCTTGGTTTATTGAAAATTTGTAACATTCTGGGTATTAGTCTAATTTCTTTTTTTATTAGTACTTGTTTCTAGTATATAATATTTATATTCCCTGTGGGGAATTGGAAGATGTATAAAATACATTTAAAATCTTTTTTTTAACCCTCTTTTCCCTCCCTGTCCCATCCATCTCCTTTCTTATAAATGTCGATGTGTGAACATTTCCATATACATAGTACATAATGTTAGCCTTCCATGTACGGAGTTGGTACAAGCACATAAGATCTCTTAATTCTTTTTTTCATCCCTTCTCACTCCCCTTCCTCAGTGAGAAAGATCTATTTCACTACTTCCTATAACCTATGTTTTATCCCATACCTTTTAATGTATATGATAATTTATTACATAGGTAATATCATTAAGTTCACTTAGAGATGAGGAAACCAAAGTAGTAAGAAGTTAAACAATGTGCCTCAGGCATTATGGGCTCTAGTGTCTCCCTTTTATCCCTTCTAAATGTCTGTTTGATTCTACCTGCTCTAGGAAGGGGAGAAACACTTCTGAAATAATGGAGACAGATCAAGGGTAAGTTCTAGCTTGCATTCATGATCTGGAGCATCTGGGATGCACAGCCCACCCTAAAGAACTCTCCTGTAGGCTCAGGTTGCAGTTGATTTTTGCAGGGCTTGACCAGAAGATGAGCCTTGACTTCTCTCCTTTCCTCTCTTGCTTTCCTCAACCCCTTCTCAGTCTCCCACCAGAAACTTCCTGCATTAATCATTTGTACACCAGAACGGATTTCAGACTCAAATTCTGGAGAATTAAATAATGCCCCACAAGGTCAGAGGCAGCATGAATGGAGAGGAAATGAAGTATGGTCATGGAGAAGTGTTTCTTAGGTAAGTTCTAAAACTGGCAAAATGTATCCCATCGATAGGTAAGGTGCTTCCAAATTGCAGTGGGATCCTGGGAAGGAACACTAGAGAAATTTTCAGTAGTCACAGAAAGCTTCCTGGAGGAAGGAACATTTGAGCAAAGAGTTGAAAAATGAATAGAATTTGTTCTGAAGACACAAAGAGAAAGGCCATTCTAAGCAGAAGAAATAGCATAGATAAGAAAAAATAAAAAAACAAAAAAGGACAGGCAAGGAGTTATGCATTCTAGGAGTCCAGTAGGCTACATATTCTTGGAGTCTCCTATTAGAGGCATGGTGGAAGCCAAACTGTAGGAAACAAACTCATTAGACATTTGTGTGTGGGAGTGGTGGGTGTGGGAAATGGAGGCTCCTCAGTTGAATTCCTGTCATTGTCTTGAGCTGCAGATACACCTCTTGGAGATAAAGCAGGGTAAGCAATCAGTGGATCAGAGTTTAGTTCATCTTTGCATACTGTGATTTTGAAATTCCTGTGGGACATCCAGATAAATAATCAGTACATGTATACATTCTTTTCTTTTTTTATTTGTACAGAATTGAGTTGTCTAACTTTGTAGTGGTTAATTGATTCTCAACTTGAGTGGGAACATCAAGATGAATTCAGTCAGCATTGTTCTGGATGTGGGAGACCCATTTTAAGGAGGACTGTTGTCAGAAAAGCATAAAAAGGAGAATGAAACAGATGGATTTTGGCTGATTTTCCTCGGGAAAGTTTCACTGTGGCTGATTTTCTTCACAGGTGCTCCAGGCTTTGCCTTCGCCTCTTGGCTCTAGGTGCAGATGATTCAGCTTCTAGCACCAGCCTTTTGACCTGCTGGCGTAGACTCTCGCTTCCAGTGCCAGCCTTTTGATCTCGCAGTGCGGATCTCTCAGTCTTCCTTCAGCACCCCTTTGGCTTGCTGATGCTGACTTGTACAGCACATTGCTGTGGACTTCAGGCCTTGGGCTGGATCCTTCAGATCTCTAGCATTTGCACACATCTTTTCCACTCTTCTCCATTTGACTCTGTGGGAAGTCATGGTAGACCAATCTCACAAATTTCTGTGTTCCACACTAAATCTGACTCAGAGCATATGCAGTCTCTTAGTAGCCTTGCTCAAGCCCTGTAAGCTCCTGAAAGCACTAATACAAACTTCCAATCTGAACATGTTCATAAAATAAGGTTGATGCTCTACTTTCAGAAGCATTGATGTAGTTACACCAAGGGCCAAGAAGGTGGTAGAAAGTGAGAAGAGGGATGTAGGCACAAAGAGTCAACCTTGAGTCCACACTGGCAGTAGAGCTGCATTGTGCTTGGGAACAGTGTCCCCTGGAGTTGTGCAACGCATGGCCTATGTGGTCCTTCATTGAAGAGCTTGAGAAAAGATGGAAAGATTAAACATATAGGAAAGATAAAAGCCTCATCAGTGCCTAAGCCAGTCCTATGAACATGTTCAACAGCCTTCATTCCCCAGGAAGTTGGCCTCATTTACTCACCATCTTCTTCAGTCTGCACCACCAGCTCCTCACTCTCCATCCGTCCCTCAGGGTTGGAGAGAAGCAGCCGCAGCCTGATGGTCATGAAGGGGCGCAGGCCCCGCAGGGTGTAGTGGGAAGAGGTCTGGATGACCTCCTCAGCTTCATACTGCTGCTGGTTGAACACATACTGGTACTGTACTGTGAGGTTATAGCTGTGGCAGCGGGTCACCGCATAGCCAAAGGGCTCCCACTGCAGAGTCAGCTGCCGGGCCCGGATGTCCACAATCTCCACGTTCTGTGGGCCATGAACAGGGTCTGCAAGAGACATACAAGACACAGAGGCTCTGAAGAGACCATCAAAAGGGCAACCATCCACATGGGTCTTCCAAAGCTATCTCAACCACTCACTTCCAAAGCTATCTCAACCACTCACTTCCAAAGCTATCTCAACCACTCACTTTGTCATTTTTGCCAATGCAGTATAATTTATATCACACTTTTCTTTAAATCAATCCCCCTTTCTTATTTAAAGACATACATCCAGGAGAAAACATAAATACATGAAATGAAAACTTGCCATGTATCACTTGCTATAAATAAATGCTAACTTCAAAAATAAGTGCAAAATTGTTAAATACTTTAGGATTTGTGAAGGTGCTGCTGAAAACCATCTTGGGTTTGCCAACAGCACAGACGTTTTTGGAATATAGTGATGGAGACAGCTGCTGGACTTCTGACCTGACTCCTGGTATTTAATTTGGCCACCTCCTCTCTTTGGTGGTCAGCCTCCTCTCTTCAGTTAGCAGCATTCAAATGAACAAACTGGAAAACGAGTCCCACTCTTGATACCACATCCAGTCTATTGCCAAGGTCACTACCTCCTTTGGGCTCTGCCTTCCAGTTTCGCCTTTCATGGGTACACATTCCATCAGTTCTAGCATTCTACAGCAGCCCTTTGTTCTTTTTTCCTCTTCTCTCAGGGCCTCCAGGAATATCATTTTCCCAGCACATGTGGCCAGGGATTCTCAACCTAACAATATCCCTCATCCATTTCTTCCCACAAAGCTTGGTGTAGGGGCTGGAGAGATGGCTCAGTAGAATCAGCACTTGCCTGGCAAGCGCAAGGGCCTGAGTTCAGTCCCTGCTTCTGCCAAAAAAAAAAAAAAAAAAAAAAAGCTTGGTCTCAAAGCCATATTTATTTAGTATTGCCCATGTCTGATGCAGAGTCATCACTTACGACTCACAAGTTACATAAATGCTTTGTACAAATCTATTGTGCTGTGATAATTACTATTCTAAGTGAAATATTTACTTTAAAAATCATGTAAAGCCCATTCTATGTCAGGCCTAAGCATTTTTGTGGTAGAAACATAAGTTCTTGTGGCCGTATGCCATCCTAAATTTTTTAAAAATGTGTTTAATACAAGGTCTCACTACACTGCTTGGTCTCCTGTTTTCAGCCTCTTCAGTGCTGGGATTATAGACTTGCACTACCACACCCAGTCTCAGTGATGGGCTCAGCACTCTGGGGGGGTGAGGTCCATGTGGCATGTGTTGTAGGGAATCAAACCCCAGACCTTGTACTTGCCTAGGCAGGTGCTTAGTCTGCTGAGCTATCTTACTCCCCTCTTCCTTCCTAACTCTTTGTGTCAAATTCTCTTAGCTGAGAAACTACAGATTAAATCAGCGTTTTCGCCATGATACCTATTGAACTTTGTCAAGTTACTTAACTCTTTGGGTTCACTTTTTTTTTCCATTTGTGGAATGATAAAAGTAATAGTAGCTGACCTTACTACAGAGGAATGGAGTCAAACTGCATATTTACCAAGCAGGTAGGAGTGCACCTAGAGTTAAAAATCATTCCATATATGATAGCTGGAGTTTGCTGTTGGTTTTAAAGTAATGGAAATGTGACTCTAAATGATGACTAGGACACTGTCACCACTCCAGTTCCCTCCAAGCATTTAGGGAAGGGCTGCCTCTGTACTAGTGTAGCCCTAAGAAGAGTAGGTGGGATGTGTTGCCAGCTAAGCTTTCCAATCTATTCCTATGGGAAAACTGTAACTTGTGTCAGAAGCTTAGCAAGGAACACACTTCATAGAAATGTCAGGGAGCCCGGAGAGCCAGCCCAGAGCAGCTTGTATGGTTGCTGGTGGGAGCCTGCCAGGACAAGTGGGCATGACGGCTTCTGATTAAATCCGGAATGCATTATCTCTTGTACAGTTAGTTCAGTTGTGTACACTCACAGGTCCTTTGTGGCAAAGAGAACTAGTGTCCCCAAACCACATGGATGACTTTGAGAATGTGATATTGAATAAGCTGTGGCTGACAGCCCACTGTGCTGGGCCCATGTGGAATGACAGGTGAAGGGTGAGGTGCCCATAGCTGGGGCCAGCTGCTGCCAGCTGTGACTGCAGCTGCTTATTTGAACATCTCACAGTGGCACGGGCTGCAGTGGGTACAGATGCACAAACTTTAGGGTAGCAAGAGCTGCTCATCTAGAAACCCTCAGCAGCTCCACCAACCTGACCCAGCTGGAACTGGCAAGGAGGCCATTCATTTTCACATAGGACCTCTGAACACTTTTCCTATGGGTATGCCTTCAAAACCATGTCTGACCACCAATAAGACAGAGAAGATAAACACCGTCATACACACTCTCTCTCCTCACTTAGGAGTGAAATCAGGGACATTTGAGATTCATTAAAGCTCCAAGCTAAGACCACATTTTGTTAAACATCTTAAAATGTATTGTATCATATGTTAAAGTAGCTTTTGTGATTTCCAATGAGGCTTTAAAGCACAAACAAAAGAATAAGAATCAAATAACATCAGTAGAGCAGCAGGTATAAGTACTAGGTGGTCTCTCTGGAATCACTGTAGGATTCTGAGGGAGGGAGAGGGTACCAACCTATTTGACAGATGAAGGAATCAAGGCCCAAACAGGTCAGTAAGTTTAATAGAGTCATCAGCGTAGCAAGTAGAAAAATGGGGCTTTGAACTTGCAACTCTTTGATCCCAAGCCTGGTACACTAGGTAAAAAGGGCCTTACTAAGCTTCAGTGGGATTGATGCATGCTGAATTTTCTAATTCCTATAACAGCCAGGGAGGAAGGCATCACTAGTGAAATCCTAGAGGAAAGCAAAGATTTCTGAGATAAAATGATTGTTCTATAGTCACATAGTGAGAGGTGTGGGTAAGATTGAAGTCTCTGAGAACCCTTTGGGATTTCTCTGTACTGTGACAACACCAGAGACCAGGAAAGGAACATCACTGTGAGGTGTGTCACAGCCCTCAGGAAATCTGGGGAGACCTAAGAGAATGTTGTGGAAAACCCAAACGCTGTGAGGCAGAAACTGCATGATCCTCAAGAGCCTAGGGCTCACTGGAAGGGAGGATGCCGGGACTTAAACCGACTCAGTGCCAAGCCCACCACTCATGGCCCACATGTGGCTAGTCTCCACTCCCTCGCCCACATCACACCTGTGCAGCTATGCACTTTAAACCTTTCTCTTCTTTTAGAAAAAAATGAGCAGCCCAGGACCATTTTATAAAAAGGCCAGGGGAAATTATAAACCTGCCTCATAGCAAAACCTCTCTCCAAAGCAAAAATGTGGGGGCACAGGAAAACCCCCCAGGTCCTTTGAACTGTGGTTAACTGTTAGAGCAGGGCTCGAAGCCAGACTCTGGCACTTAGTATCTGAGTGACATTGGGCAAGGATACTTCATCTGAGAGCCTCCATCTCCTCATCTATAAAGTGGAAATTATTGCACTAATCTCCAAGGGCTGTTAATGAGCATAAAATGAACTGTAAAGAGAGAAAATTGCCTTTCCCTAACAGTGGGTATTCCTCTTAGATGGAATTGCCTTTCTTGGAAAAATGCTGTAAGCTTCTTGTCCAGAATAGAAACTACATTCCCAGAGCCTTGCTCTCCCATCACATGGAGTCTTTAGAGGAAAACATACTTTAAGTATTGAGTAATTTAGATTGAGTAGAAGTACAAGAGTGAATAAGTGGCAGGATATTAGGGAGCATGAACTGACAATTCCTTATGTGACTCTTAGGTCTTCAACAGGGTCACCCAAACACCAACATGTCTGCTGTCATCAGATCTCTTGTGTATTCCAGAAAGGGCTGCGATCCATTTATTTTGGGCCAAATAGGATATCTTATGGGAACAACACACACAGCAGACTTGGAACACGTGTCCATATATTATTAAGCTCTTGGAAGACATTTTTAGGAGAACATCATGCCGTGGAAATTTAAAGGTTTGTGGAAGTCTCAAACCAACTACAAAAGGGAAGGAGGACTGGTGGGTTTGTGGGTTAGACCCATGTAGATGAAAGTACACTGTAAAGTTGAGTGTTCTCATTTGAAGAAAGGGGAAGGTGATAGCTATATTTATCAGGCAGCAGCTCTTAGGCTAGTAGTGTCTGAGTGATCAAGGTGTCACCCTTAACTCTTGCCTCCAGAAAACAATTTTATGACATAGGAGATTGAGGCTTGGTGAAGGGACACAACTCCCTGAGGGCCACATAGTCGTGTCCCCGAACTCCCAGGGTTCTGTTATAGCACACTCAGCATTTGCCATATTGTCCAGGAACTCCTTGTTCAGATCTCTGTTTCCTTCTAGGCTGCCAGGAATGATGCTCTATTTGTCCAACAGCCCCAGAATGTGTCACAAGGTCTGTCTGAGGCTCGTCTATGAGATGTGAGATGCACAGACAGTGACCTGTGCTTGGGAACTGAGCTTGGATCCTCTGACTCCACAGTTCCTGGTCTGTCCCTCCAGCATGTCAGCAGAGTTGTGAAGACAAATATTTCTTTTTTTGCATTCAAGTAAGATGTCCTGAAATCCTATACAAAAGAAACTATTTTGGGGGGTGCGTAATGGAAGTGTTCACACTCTCAATCTGACACCCTACACCTTAGCTGCCAAATCCATCATTGGCTCCAGTGATTGCCTCTAGCAAGCAGAATCTTGCGCTTACATTCTGATTGGCACAAACAAGTTGGAAATTGCTGAAAAAACCTTGTGCGTGCAGTGGACACTGGCTTCTTGAATTTACATCTCCTGTGTAAATACATCCAGATCTTGAGCCTGTGGTTTCTGTGTCTAATAAGGCCCTGCCCATATGACCTTCTTGAGTACCAACCCACAGGCCAACAAGGCAGCAAAGAGTAGAAAGATAGAGTGGCTCGTCAGGCAAGTGGGAAATCATCTTCTCATGGAAAATCAAAATGGTTTGGCCTTGGAGTTCACTTTCTAGATGCCCTTAGACTGGGCCCAGGGGCATTGCCTTGAGCCTT